CACTGAAAAGTAGCTAGTGCTCAGTTAGCATTTTAGCACAGAAAATGCACTGAAAAGCGGCTAATACTATTAGTCATTGCTAAAATTCTGTAATAAAATGGTGCTTAAATTGTTGTGTATAATGTATTATTTTAATGTACTTTGCTACTATTCTGAATATGTTACAGCTAATGTGTTCTACAAATTCACATTCTGATTCTGGATCATTGTTGTCAATATGTATTCATTGATGCTTTGAAAGAAGACTGAAATATTTTTGTATTACCACAAATAAGCTAATTATTTTAGCTTTGTTAATGTGTTGGTGATCACTTGAATTCTATTGTTGTACAACCTGGAAACTACTTGAGAAATGACTGTTAATTGGTAGCTTTAAGCTAATGAGTGTTAGTTTACTGGGTTTTAAGCTACTTTATTCTGGCCTTGGTCTAGGTCAGGTTTATTTGCGTGGGTGCATTAGTCACCCATAGTGTAGCAGAGAAGACAGGATCTCCTGTCCAGAACTGGATGCACTAATAGATCGTGAGACCTTAGTTTGAAGCGAGCAACTTCAAGAAATCACAACTTTTATTCACTGAAGGTTTTAACGTTATCATTATCAAATTAAACGCGTGTCTTACTTGCTCGCTTGCTTGTATCGAACATTCTTGGTCTTGGTTTTGCTTTTTGGAGTTTCTACTTTCCCTCTGATCACCTCCCCTTCCTCTCCCTCCACCCTGTCCTCCTCCTCCTCTTCTTCCTCCTCCTCTTGGAACTTGGGTTTGTCCAGGTCCTTTTTCAGGACGAGGCCGTCCAGCTCCGTGTCGCTCTCCCAGACGCACAACGTCCCGTCCTGGCTCACCGTGTACAGCTGCAAGAAGAACCCGAACGAGGGATGAATTAGCAGATTGTTGCAGTTTAAACCATCCAAGAGAGGAAAAACAAAACTCCACACACATCTAGACTGTCCTTCTCAAAGAAGCAGCCCACAATGACGTCCTTGTGTCCACCCAGGGAGTAGTAGATCAGATTAGCCCAGCGCTCGGCACCAAACACCCACGTCGACATGTCTTTACTTCCCACGACAAAACACCTGCAAACAAACAAACACTGCTTCTGCTTTACTCCAATACATTTTCATGATGACTTTCTTGCGTTGCGGTGCTCACCTGGAGTCGTCTGTCCAGTCGACGCAGGTCGTTTCATCGTACGGACCGTAGTAGCTCTTGTCCAAAACAAAGGCGTTAAACTCCCGCTGCTTTCCAGGAGCGTGGTACATCAGCGCTACATTCTCCTTCGTCACAATAAACTTCCTGCGGCGGAGATGAACGTTTAAGAATGCGTCTGCGTTTACTGCTGTCCTTTCAACTCATTCCTGCACGTTTAGATTTTTTCTATTTCAGCTACTATTTAGCCCCTTATGCTCATTTTAGCTTTTTCGGCTAATTCCACATTTGCACTCATTTCAATGTTTTTACATTTGCACTCATTTCAATGTTTTTCAGCCTAATTTAGCAACATCAACAACAACAAAAAAACTTCCTTCTGCCGTTTTAGCTACTTTTCAGCCTTTTTTTTTATGGACAATGTCGAGCTTTTTTCCAGATAATTTCCACTTTTAGTGCTCATTTCTGCTTCTTTAAGCCTAAACAGGCAAACGTGTTCTTTCTGCTTTCTTCTGCTAATTTAAGCTTGTTGTAACGTTTCAGCTAGCTTTTTAGCATTTTAGCTCATTTCAGCTGTTTTCAGATAAATTTACAGTTTTCGTGTTAATTTCTGCCATTTTCAGCCTAATTAACTTCTTTATGCTAATTTCAGCTTTCAGCGTTTTTCCACCACATTTTAGCTTTTTCTGCTCTTTCAGCTACTATTTAGCTCTTTTGAAGCTAATTTTAGCTTTTTCAGCTAATTCTACATTCTGAGCTGATTTCAGCTCTTTTCACTTCCATCTGGTAGTTTAAGCTTCTTTCTGCATTTTCAGCTACTTTTCAGTCGTTTTTTTGTCGTTGCTGCTAATTTCAGCTACTATTTGTTTTAGCTTATTTCCTAATTTTTGTGCTCATTTCTGATTAACTGAATCCTAATTCAGCAAATATGGTTCGTTCTGCTTTCTTCTGCTAATGTAGGCTTGTTCTTCCATTTTAGCTACATTTTAGAATATTCTTTAGCTAATTTCAGCTGTTTTTCAGCAAGTTCTTCTGCAACAAGCATTCATACTGCATTTTTGCAGGAAATGCAATGTTTCTTGTTTAATTAGTGAGAGGTCTGGACGCAGACAGGTGATCACCTGGGCTCTTCTGCTGAGTCATGCTGTTGTAACGTTGCAGTGTGAGGTTTAACATGGTCTTGCTGTAATATGCAAGACTTTCCCTAAAAATATATAATCTGGATGGAACCTTATGTTGTTCTGAAACCTGTATATATTTACTGTACTGATGGGGTATTATCGTGAACAGCCCTACTACAACACCGTGTCAGCTGTTTCCAAAAAGAATTGAAAAAATGTTGACCACAGAACAGTTTGTCTCAGTCCATTTTCAAAGATGTTTGACGGCAGTGTTCACACACGGCTTCTTCTGTATATGATGGAGCTTCAAGCAGCATCTGTGGACAGCATGGTGAGCTGCGTCTACACTCCATGAGTTATGGAAGTGCTCCTGAGCCCATGCGGCGATGTCCACAACAGAATCAGGCTGGTTTTAAAGCAGTGGCCCCCCCGAGGGCTCAAAGATCACGAACATCTAATAGACTTTCAGCCTCGTCCTTTGAGCTCAGAGATTTCTACAGATTCTTTTACAGTTGTGAACTTTAGATGATGAGATATTGAATAACTTTCCTATTTTCTGCTGAGGATCTTAAATGTTTTTTCCACTACTTTTAGGCGTTTTTTCAGGTTTTTCACAGACTGGTGAACCTCTGCCCATCTTCATTTTTGGCAGATTCAGCATCACTAAAAATGCTTTTAATGCTCAGTTCTTTCTGACCAGTTGACAACTAACTAATTACAGTCTTTTCCAGCGTATAAGTTGCATTTATTATGCGTCACCGCTGACCCGTCGAGTTTATTTTAATGGTCAAAACAGATCCATCCATCATTCATTAATTTATCCATCCATCCATTCGTACATTTTTCTGTAATTTATCTATTTGATCATCCATCCCATTGTATTTACATGAATTCATTCTTTATCCATACATCCATCATACATTCATTTATCCATCCATCCATCCATCCATC